ATATGAATCATTTCCACTGGGGTTCAGTTAAAGGAAATTTCAAGTGACCTTATATAGTCATGCTTTTTATTTGCAAATAAAAAGAAATCACACTTACTTTTAGTGCCTTCGCAACTGAGTGAATTGAGTGTTATCAAAAAATAAAATGGGGGTTAGAGAGATGGCTCAGAAGTTAAGAACACACGTTGGATGGGGCAGTGGTGGCACACGCCCTTAATCCCAATATCATTGGGAGGCAGAGGAAGGTAGATGTCTGTGAGGCCAGCTTGTGCTATAGAGCAAGTTCTAGGAGAGCCAGGGCTACACAAAGAAACCCTCTCAATAAAACAAAAAGAAAGAAAGAAAGAAAGAAAGAAAGAAAGAAAGAAAGAAAGAAAGAAAGAATGAAGAGCTCAGGATGTTAAAGAGTCTATTCCTAGCACCTAAATGGTAGCTCAAAACCATCTGTAGCTCCAGTTGCCTGAGACTTGATGCCCACTTCTCACTTCTGCAGGCAGCTGGCACAAGGCACACAGGATCCACAGACAAACACACAGTCAAAATAGCATACACGTAAAATGAACTATAGTTTTAAAAATTAAAGAAAACAGAATTGAGGATAATTAGCATGTAGGATATAGGATTTTACATTTGAATTCAGGCTTCAATGAGGAATCTCTTACAACTGAGTTTATGGTGCTTGACTTGTCTGCCATATCTAAGTGAAATAGCAGGTATGTAAATGTTGTAAAAGATTGCTTGAAGAAAACCTGTGACATGGAGTGGAGGAGTGGTAAAAGCAATGCCTGTAAACTTAACAAATGAATGGCTTTGTGTGACTAATTAGAGCTTGGCATAGGTCTTATAGTACACAAATTGTAAAAATAATGTAGTCTGTATCACTCAGCTAACAAAAATGTAGTTGAAATCACCATGGGCTCTGCCAGCTTTACCAGGAGACCCATCACTTCCATGTCCTAGGTGTCCCAGCAGCGTTTTTTTCTGCAGCTGCTGGCTGCAGATTATTTCCAGTGTAAAAAAGGAATATTTTTCATGTTCTATTTGATCATAGGAGACAGGTTCACATACAGCCCAGGATGACCTGGAATTCACTTTGCAGCTTGATAAAAAAAAATCCTTGAACTTTTGATCCTTCTTTCTCTACTCTCCTGTTCTTGGTTCATGTGAATGCATCACCACATGGTGCTGTTTATGAGGGAACTGGAATGAGACTCCAGCTTTCTTCATGGTACATCAGCACGACTGTTCTATATTCTATATTCTCAGTCCCAGAAGGCTTTCTTGCTACCATAACATCATCTCTTCCACTGCTTTGTTGATGCAAGCCAGGTGATATTTAGAGCTGTATGCACATATAATTTCACAGATATATTTCAGGATGGCCCTATTGTCCATGAGCTTGCTTACAGTTACAATAAAAAGAAACTATTAAGGCATTTGAACAGAAATTTCCCTTCAATTTTGCAGTCTTTCATCATCCAAAACTGGGAAAAGTATTTCCTCCACATATGTTAATTCCTAGTAGAGACTGGACTGACTAATGGTGATTAACACAGTGCTCATGAATAATCAGAACCTGTGTTTTATGAAGCTTAGATGAGAATTTCATACAATGAGGAGAATTTCTTTGAGGTACTGTGGCACACATGTAAAAATACCTCACAGCTTGTGTGCTAAAAACTGTGGAATCTACCCTTAACTTATACTAATTGAACTCCTTCATACAGTTAACTACAAATTAAGCCAGAAAAGAGCAACACGTAAACATCATTCATTTTTATTCAGCTTATGATAATGCTAAAGTTCGTAGACAATATTTACTAGTGTGTTCCCTAATACAGAGAAATGGGTAGTATAAGGATAACAACTATAAGGATCTACTGAACAGTGTAGTCGAAAAACTATTCTCTTTTCAAAGGGCTGAAAACAACATCCTATATAGTATAAGGTATTTAGGTGTGCATTCCTAAATACCGTTCAATTCTTGCTAAAGCAGCCATGCAGCTTAATTGATCAAGCTAGGTTCTGCAGGACTATCAATCTATTCAGTGGTCTACAATAGTTTACTGTCAATAGCCTTTCTGCTTTCAGCTTCTCTGTATCAAAAATTACACAAAGAGCAGATAAAGGTCCTCAAAATTCTTTTAATGGTGATATTCTTTTTAAATTACATTTTATTTTTGAGATATGATGTTTTTACATCATTCCCCTTTTTCCACCAACCAAACACTCCCATATAACCCTCCTTTTTCTCTTCCAAATAGGTAGCCTGTATTTTCATTAATTACTGTTACATATACAAATGTTTGTATATGTGTACATTCCTGAAAATCTACAACCCAGGAGTTCTCAACCTTGCACAAATAACTATAGCCACCTAATGGTGATATTAGTACAAAAGCCAGGCTTCTGCACTTTTATAATCCAATCAAGAGTAAGTAAATCATGAAAGTTTCATAGCCTTTTATGAATTCTGTAAAACTATCGAGGCTTAAAATATGAAAGAAAACAATAGTCTAAAGAATCATCATTTGAGTTTTCCAATGTTAAGTGTCTAAGTATATGAGAATTAGTTTATTATGCAGTTCCTCAAACTGCAATTTTAAATATAAATGATTTCATAATGAGATGTAGAGTTCTTTAATAAAGTGATAAACAGGTCAAATGCACATTTAAAAAGAGCACATTATCCAGATATAACAATTCAAAATAATGTCTTTGTTAATTGCAAAGAATCCATTTTACTATGCTAACCTCAAGTGTCCTAAAAGAATCTGATGAAATAATTACTTATCCATATTTCCATTTTTAAAGTTTAAAAGCCATTCAAGGGTTGGTAATTTTCAAAGAGCTATTTAATCGACTGATCACATATTAGAAGACAGAAACATGTTATGTCAATGAAAACAGTAACCAATAAGAAACAAAATGATTAAGCTAATTAAATATAATTAATAAAGTAATTAAATTAATTAAAACCTAAAGTAACTTGGTAGTAATCACCAATCATAATGATTTATATGCATTGACATTTAATAAGGGCAATGATCTCTATTCACCGGTTCAGGAATTCACATAACATGTTGTAATAGATATCATAATAGAATTATTGATTAGCCAAATCTGTATCATAAAAATTCAACATATGTAATATTAATGAAATTTTAAAATCAGGTACTAGCTTTTACTATATTATATTACTAGTATTGAACCTTTAAAACTAAATTAAAATAAATGAAGTTTTATGAACTGCATAATGTATATTTGTAACATAACTGTATATATGACTTAGCCTTCACTGCTCTTTTTAAGAAATAAACATAATTTATATAGAAGAACACATGATTTTAATCTATTCTTTAATCTTAGCAACTTAAGTGTTTTATTAAGAATGTTAGCTGAACTCCTGGAATCCAGTCATAGAGAGGCAGGAGTGATAAATTGAACAAAGGGTTAGAGGCCATGATGGGGAAATCCACAGATACAGCTGACCCAAGCAAGTGAGCACAGACTCTGGACTGTCAGCTGGGGAACCTACATAAGATCAAACCAGGCCCTCTGAATGTGGGTGACAGTTGGATGGCTTGGGAAGGACCACTAGCAGGGGAATCAGTATTTATCCCTAGCGCATAAACTGATTTATTGGAAAGATATCTTGCCCAGCCTAGATACAGGGGGCAAGAGCTGTTGTCCTGCCTCAAGTGATGTGACAGACTTTGTTGATTCCCCATGGGAGGTCTCATCCTCTCTGAACAGTGGATGGAGGCCTGAGGTGGGAGAAAGTTTGGGGTAGTAGAAGGACAGGAGGGAAAGGGAACTGGGATTGGTATGTAAAATAAGATTGTTTTAAAAATAAAAAACAATAAAAAAGAATATTTTAAGTTGTGGTTACACATTGGTAAAAAATTGATAGGTGCTTAAATTTTAAATTCAAAACCTAAACATGAAGAATTGTAAATTTTCAGTAAAATATTTAAGGTAACATTTTAAGTTCATTGCATACTGTAAGTATGAAAATGTCAAACATTCTGATTCATAGTTATGTGTTCTTTTAATAAAAATAATTGAAATATACTGTTTCTGTAATTTAGATGCCATAGGTAACTACTATACTATAAATTTCAACAAATTATATATTGATACTTTATGAAGCATAACTGATTTAAAATAAAATTGAAGTTTGAAAGTTTATAGGAGTGAAAAACACTAACATCACAATACTTTCGACTAAAAATTCATACTTATTGTTATGGGAAGCTTACCAACTCATATTTCTTAAGGATTAAAGGCTCCTGAGTATTACTAATTTCTGTCAATATGAAATGTGAAATAGGATTTAATTCTGAACAAAATATCTGACTTTAAAAAGAAGTGGCTTTTGCTGATATTGCTGTTTTCCTGTGGCAACTGCAATGAAGAAGGGAAACAAAAAAAAAAAAAAAACCGTTTATTAGGGAGGGCGGTGAGAGGGTAGGGAAGCCGGTGTTGGCAGACCAGGACAGGAAGTGAAGGGAGGAACGAGTGGGTGGGGCGGGTGGGTGGCACTTCCACAAAAGGGAAAGCTTGCACATGCATACAGAGTCCTTATGCAACCATGCAATGCATGATACAGCCACACAAAGCGTGATGTAGCCACACAATGCAGGCCTCCTGAGCAGACTATCTACCTGAATGTTGGTGTGCATATCCTGCCAACTGACAGGGGAAGGGGTCAGCATCATACCAGGATATCAACCGATATAGCTCTCAATTTAGGACAATACATCTGCACAAATCTAAATAATATAGAAACTGAGGTTCTGAGAAGCCATTTCAAAACACAGCGAGTGGACAGTGTCACAGTCCACTATTTGCAAATGTAGCAATCAGTAACAGATCTGCCCGCTGAGCAGGGCTGAAATGGTAAATGGTACAAATGATTTCACTAAATGCTATTGCCATAAGTCTGTCATCCTTACGAGTTCTGATACACTTACATGTTTTTTATGACTTCTTTCCAGAATGCTCTGGTCCATTGGGAATCGAAGGCGGGATTATATCCAATCAGCAGATCACAGCCTCGTCTACCCACCGAGCTCTTTTTGGACTCCAGAAGTGGTATCCCTACTATGCTCGGCTTAATAAGAAAGGACTCATAAATGCCTGGACAGCAGCTGAAAATGATAGATGGCCGTGGATTCAGGTAACAGAGGGATGGGACAGAGATTTTCCCCAAATGATCAGGATCAGTTATGGGATTAGGAAGACTTTGGTGTGATACTCCCACGTGTTCAGGGTGGCTGCAAAATCTAAAAACATAAAAACATGCACCTTCTCTAAAAATGTGAAAACAGCATTAAGATGCAAAATACTTAGGCATGAATACACTGCTTTAGGTTACATTGGAACAAGATCTTATTATTTGCACATGTTCATTCATATAGTGCTAACTTTTAGCAACAGATTATAAAAAGGAAAGTAATAATTTCATTACATATTCTTTGTGAGAAATAATTTCCCATGTGCAAATATAAAATGTACATCGGATTGATAGTATCCCACTCTCTGCAGCACACTCTTTTTATAAATAGAAAAGTTTTGAGTGTTCTGAGGGGCTTTATTACATATCAGTTGTGTAAAGGAGTTGGAAAGCTTCACCATCTAAAGAATAAAACAATAATCTTGGTAATCTTCACATTGTAGAAATATTCAAAGTAGGCATGCAATTACTTTACAAGTAGATAATAATATTGTAGACTTGATTACAAAACATTTTATAATTCTTCAAGGGATTTGTATTTATTTTATTTTAATTTGTTGCATCTGGACCATAGTTCTACTCCCTCTTTTCCTCCCAGTCCCCCCCCACATTCACCCCACTTCTCTTTCTATTGGGAAAGGAGCAGGCCTCCCTTGGCTATCAACAAAACATGGCATATCAAGCTGTAGTAAGACCTCTGCTCCCAAGTACTAAGGGCGAACAAGTCAACCCGGTATAAGGGTATAAGGAATAGGATCCCAAAAGTTAGCAAAAGAGTTAAGGCCAGCTCCAACTCACAGTCTTAGGAGTCACACAGGAAGACCTAGCTACACAACTGTAACATATATGCAGAGAACCTAAGTATTTCCCATGCACATTCCCGAGTTCTAGTTTTAGTCTGTGTGAGCCACCTATGAGTCCAGGTTAGTCGATTCTCTGGGTTTTCTTGCAGTGACCTTGACCCCTCTGGCTCCTACAATCCTTCCTCCCTCTTTTCAGCAGAATTCCCTGAGATTCATACTGGTTTTTATTCTCATCACAGCTAATTTTGGAATAGGAGAAAACAAGAATGTATTGAGATATTAAGAGCTTTGCTGGAAAGGAACTATCATAGTAACACTGACCTCTCATATTCTATCCATTTAATCTTCCTGAACACTCAAGTTAAAGCATAAATTAGATGCACTAGGAAGACAAAGAACATGATCAAAATTGATTTGTGTGAAATATTATACCTCTGTTCATGTGGTACCTTAGTATAAACACTTTCTATCAATTCATCAATAGCACATAACAAATATGAGAAAAGTCAAGTATACTGAGGAGTCAGAGCAGTCATGTTGAAAGTACATGGGTCAGGAAACTGATACAAGGCAATTTTTGAAGATAGCTTCCTCTGATCTAGTATCTCAGGACAAAGCATAATCAAGAATCTAGCAAATATATAGAAAATCAGGACAAATAGAGTTACTTGGAGGAATGTGTTAAAATCTGATTTGAGAGAAAATAAATGTCATTCAGCTCCCAAATCATGATACAGACACTTCTTAGTAATTATGAAAGCTCAGCCTATACTTAGACTTGTCCCTAACCAGCTCTTATACCTTAAACCATTTATGTTAACCTACATTCTATCATGTGGCATTACCTCTCTTCCATCTTGCATCTCCTGTTTCCTCTCCCTATGTCCTGGTGTCTCTGCATTTCTATCCCAGAGACCTCTTTGTCCCTTTATGTCCCACTTAACCTCTTTCTGCTTTGCTATTGGTCATTAGCTGTTTATTAAACCAATCCAAGGGAGCCTTGGAAAAGACACATCTTCACAGTGTAAACAAGTATTCTGCAACATTTCCCCTTTTATATCTAAATGAAAAGGGAAGGTTTTAAATCTAACACAGTAAAACTATATACAATGAGGATAATTATCAGGTAAGAATTATATTCATAATATCCATATGTGTTTGCAAATTAGGAGAAAGTACTGTATTATCTATCCTATCTTAGTGAGTCAGAAGTTTCATACCTAAACCATCTTCTATCCCAACTTGTATTATCATCCTAAAAATATATTTTTATACCTTAAAACATTTTTTAGATAAATAACTTAAGCTTTTATGGTTTTTAGCTTTATAAACTTTACATCTCATGTTTTTTTTCTAATTTGATAACAAGGAAAATTGGAGAACTATAACTATCTAGTCTACAATCCAATCAAAGACCCAAGGAGGATATATTTCCTGAATAAACAGAAAATACAGAGCTAGCAACTTCTAAAACTAAGTAAAGACAGAGACATCTAGCTTCCTGGACAATAACCCCAGGTTCCTATGTAACGTTGGGGCACCCATCTTTGACCTACAGTCCTAGACTATCTGACAGACTTTTCTGTGAGTCAGGAATTTTGAAGGACTGTCCTGCCTTGCCTTGGCAAAGTTTGGCACTCACTTTCTTTTGTGTCCTGCTTGCCCAGTTTGGACAGCATACAGTCAGCAGTTGAGGAAAGGGCAGTGTCTTGTACAGTGGCTAACTTTGTCACAATGAAAACAAACTCCATATGGAGGCTCCTTGATGTCATTCATTCTTTTTTTTTCTTTGAAGTAGATGGTGCTGCAGGGAGCAAATGTGTTTCATTTTCATGAAAATTCTGATGTTATTAACACATATTCTGTAGATCTCAAAAGTTTTAAAGACCAAGTGTCTTTCTAAAATACATCTCTGTTTAACCTTGAAAATATACCTAATATAACTACAAGTTTAGTTATTAAAGATGACAAACTACTAACCTCATTTCTTAATTAAATATTACATTTTAATGAGCTGCATAAGTACAATATCTTAAAACTGTATAAATATATTTATAGAATTTAAATTTAAAAATAACCTTAATTTTGTATCAATATAAATGTATATATCAACGTAAAATACTTGAGACTAATAGTTGCTTTTTAGTTCAAAGTTAACGAACCACCCTTTTATCCCATAATTTCTATACTATATTCCTAATTTTCCGTTTCAGAACAAGATCCCTGAATTTAATCTCCTTTTTTTAGCTTTCTCCATGGCTATAACCAATAACAAACTGTAACCATTTCCCCTAAGCAATGACAAATATCCACAACCATCAAATGACCAAAATCCACTCATCTACTTCTTAGGAATGTGGCTTTTGTATTCTCTATACTGCTTCCAGTTGTCTGTGAGTGACAGAGTGTCTAGAGGACCCTGAGAAGATTGGGATAATGGTCAATTCCTGGGAGAACAAGTTGTATTACTTTTTGTTTGTTCTCTGTGTGATAGGTAAGTGTAGGCCTTATCTGAAGTCTTTGTTGTTATAATCTGTGAGGCTGGATCATCTCAACTAGCAGCATTGAATTTGTTATGAATCCAGAATTTTGAGGAAACTGCAACAGAGGCATTCTGAGAGACTGGATCATCTAGGATACTTGTCTTTATTGCTTTCTGGTCCTTTTATTTTCTGAAAACTTTTAAAAGTAAAAGATGTATCTACAATAACACAAGTACAGAACATTCAATGTATATAAGTCAGCTAAAGATGACATTTTTGTTTATTTTTGAGCAGGTAAACGTCATCTGTTAACTTTACAAGTCTGTTTGGACTGTATAACTAAACCTCTATCCATGTCAAATGAAAGGATGGCATGTAGTAATTAGTCGTGAGGATTCTGTAGATAACAAGGTTTATCCTGTCTGTCTAGTCTCAGAGCTGTGCCCATGCACACACATCTCCTATCCTGTAGTCTTCCCTGGCTCCCTCCCTCACATCTGCAGCCAAGATTCTCAGGATGGTTCAGCTGATCAAATTTTATCTTTGTTAATTTTAAATAAACCCACAGCCTTTTGTTTCCTGTGGAAACAAAGGCACAACTTCTCTCTCAGCACAACATATTTTCTGACATCCATTTTAAAGTTAAGGCATCCTTAAAATATATAGGCTGGTTTAATCCAGTAGTATTTTTCCTCAATCTCTTAGTAGCTGTTATATATGCTTCATTATCATTTAAAAATTCAAAGTCAACAAAGCACTACAGGTTCCAGAATCCCTTTCTATTTTCCATCCTTACATGGCTTACCTTTGGAGTGAGGGGGTATTTATTTTTTAGGTTTGTTTGTTTGAGCATATAATGCTCTACCTGCATTATTCCTGCAGGCCAGAAGAGGGCACCAGATCTCACTACAGATGGTTGTGAACTACCATGTGGTTGCTGGAAATTGAACTCAGGAACTCTAGAAGAGCAGTCCTTGCTCTTAACTGCTGAGACATCTCTCCAGTCCCACTTTATTTTTAATTATTTTTAAACCATCTTAATGACTGTCTATACCCATTTTCTTTTCTTTCATTAGCATCTAAGCACATTTTAAAGCATACTCTATGTAGGCATTTCAGGCTGATGGGATGGGACAGGCATTCTGGCAATCAGGAGACACAGAATACTGAGTATTACACAGCTCAGATGGAAAGGTATCCTGGAGCTCGGGAGCCAAAGCCTACCACAGGCTGCAATGAGAGTAGCAGCTTACAGCGCTGCCCCAGGGAAAGGCTTTCTTAGTATATTGGCTCTGCTCTAGCAAGAGAGGGTCTTCCAGCTGAAGATGTTTGCCCAGTGTAGCAGTTTTGCTCAGGCAGGAGGTTTCCCTATGGAAAGTTGCTATAGTTGCTACAGTTCCGCACTGCTCCCTGTATAGTGGAGATCCAAGCGTTACAACTCAGCTCTGCCAGGGGAAGGTTTCCCCTGCAAAAGTGTTACAGCCCTGCTTGCTCGGCTCTGCCCAGGGTCTTCTCTGCTCCACCGCAAAAGGTCTTCACCCAAAGTTCATCGAAGGGGTTTATTGGGAGGGAAGAATCCAGAAGGGTGGCAGAGTACAGCCAGGTAGAGTGAACAGCTACAAGCAAAATAGACACAGGGTTTATATAGGGCTTTCAG